CACCCACACCCACACCCACACCCACACCCACACCCACCCACACCCGCCACACACCCACCCACACCCGCCACACACCCACACCCCACACCCAGAATAGTTAAGTGCATATTCATGAAAATGATAGATATGCTCAGATCAATTTGTAGTGAAAATGTGTCTATGCATAATAGATTATGAAAGATGAATGCATAATGGAAATTTTCGCAGCTGTTAATGAGAAACTCGATGCATAACAAGTGAGACGATTTAGCTTTCGTTTCACTCTGCTTTGGAAAGATCGTAGTAAGAACAATTGTTACTTCAAGTTCTACAGCTACACTAAAGTGCAAAAGCCTTTGATCCGTGCATAGGCTAATTGTCCGATAGCATATCTCTAGAAATTGCTGACAGATTTTTCGAAGAAGTTTCCAGACACGAGAAAAAGTTCAATATATTGTTGTCTTAATTGCAGATCATTCCATAAAATCTCCAGCTTATGAAAAAATGACTCAACAATAAAAAGCTACACTGTAAAAAAATTCGTAGAATAATAAACCCTATCAAAAGGGTTTATTAAACTCCTAAACCCTTCACCGTATATTGATAAACCCTTTTATCGTTTATTATCAATCTCCTAAAACCTTTAAGGGTTTATGAGGCTTTCTAAACCCTTAAAAATGGTTTATTATACGTTTCACTTTCCTAAACCCCTAAGGGTTTATTAGATCTCCTAAACCCTTTTTTCACTCATAAACCCTTAGAGGTTGAAGAAAGTGAAACGTATAATAAACCATTTTTACGGGTTTAGGAAGTCTCATATACCCTTAAAGGGTTTAGGAAATTGATAATAAACGATAAAAGGGTTTATCAATATACGGCGAAGGGTTTAGGAATTTAATAAACCCTTTTGATAGGGTTTATTATTCTACGAATTTTTTTTACAGTTTAGTCAGCTGAAAACGAATCAACAATCTCATTACATTGTTGATGGAATGTGTCATCGATATTTGACCAAAAACAGTCGTTTGATCAAGTTTTTCATTCGAACTGTTAAATGAAATGCGTTGTTATCACAGGACAAGGTATATTAGGAGGTGAACACCATTTTAACCACATTTCTGGAATTACTTTTGTAAACAGAGAGAAGCTAATTTAGCAAATTCGATGAAATAACAAGAGCCTGATTAGCAGTTATTCGTGTGATCGTGATGCTTAGAAATCTTTTATGTTCCGTTGTTCCAAGATTACATGAATGGTTAATTATGAGCCTAAAAAATCTCTATACAAGAAAACACATCAAATGATCGAATGGAGATCAGATAGAATGCATATTTATTCGATGGAAAACGTCTCATTCGTCATCAAACATCGTTTTGAGAAACAAGAACTAGTAAATCTTGATCAGTTCAGCAGACTTCTACATAAAATGAAAAAACTAGCTAATTTAACTTTCCTAAATAATTTTCTCGGGATGATAAAAGAATGTTTTTCATCTGTCATTTAATCGGATGGCAACATGATCATCGATTGAGTATTTTATTTTTCAAGCTTGCACTATCCCCAATACGTGTATCTATTTGATTTCTGCACTCATCTTATTTATATTAGCAGTTCTGGGGTCAAAAACTTCGCCACTCTACTGTATCGCTGTTCTCTCGAATATCTACAGTAGATTAATAAAAGAGACGTAATTTCTAAAAGATTTTATTAGAGACCCCAAAGAAGAAAAAGCGTGTGAACCGAAATTTGAATCAGCAAAAAAAGAGAAAAAGCATGAATTACAGAAAAAATGTCTTTGAAGGTAAGAGCTTCAGGAATTCACAAGTCACCACATTCGGTACAGACAAGACCAACAGCACCCCAACTCGAAGGATCGCTGCTATAATAATCCCAAAATGGCTTTGCAACGCATTCCTTCAAACTCATAGCATTATTTGGATTCGAAGGACATGTCAAATACGATTGCATATAACGACACAGTTGCAATCCACTTGTACCATTTGGACAGGTAAATCGACACGTCTGCGTTTGAGTCCAAGATACTTGAGCATTTGCACTCACTTTACTACAACCCATTGATCGACAGGCAACTAAAGCATGATCATCGCTAAAGCCCGGTGGAAACATGACACCTTCGAATGTTATAACTTGACTGCTGTTCAGGAGACGTGTCGTTGCACGCAGAGTGAGAGGGTTTGTCAGCACGACATCTAATTTTATGAGAATTGATGGATACGAATCTGATTTCATTGTATAAGGATCACAAACTGGATCACTTTCAGCTTTCGCAATACTATTAGGAGTAGCCGTTACCGTAGCACCATATACAGTTTGAACAAAAACTAGCATCAAAACTGTATTAAAGAACATTTTCAGTTCAGTGTCGGCAAGTTATTTTTTTGGTAATAATTCAGGAGAATAGATGACAGTGACAGGAATAAGTTTTTTTTTGATACACAAGAGAGATTGTTTTATATTTTTTCTCGTTCTTTCCACAATGTCTGTAAAGTGTTTTACGCAGTTTAATTTAAGGAGAAACGGTATGTTGCTCAGACGAAAAAAGATTTTTGATATTTTTACGAATGTCAATCGTAAAAATCACTGAAGTTATAAGTGTTTTGTATGTATGAAATTTCACTTCCATTTTTCTCTCTCTTCCGTTTTTCTCTCTCTCTTTCGTTTTTCTCTCTTCTGTTTCTCTCTCTTCTGTTTCTCTCTCTTCTGTTTTTCTCTCTCTCTCTACTTTCTTTTCGTACCATAAACAAGGGGACTGCGCGCAGAACATTCTTAGACAACAAACTTCACAAAAGTATAATTTTTCGTTATACATTAGAATTATTGTTACTATTATTATTCATCCGAAAAGAAAAAGAGTTTATATATACGGTTGTTTTTCAACGACAATAAACATTAAAGAGTTTTCGTTGGAAAAAAGGACTGAAATGACTCTCTTCCTCTTTTTCTTTCTCTCTGTCACTGCTGTACCCATTACTTCTCAGTCTTTATCCTGTACTCCCGGTTTCTTCCTTAGTGGAACTGTCTGTCACAAATGTACTATAGGATCGTACTGTCCTGATGGTAAGGCTCAAACCTCATGTCCTCCAGGCAGTTATACTGATCTCTATGAACAATCTGCCTGTCGTCGATGCCGTAGCGGTTGGTACCAAATTCAAGCAGGTCAGACAAGATGTCTCCGTTGTGGTTTAGGACAGTTCTGTCCAAAGGCTATCCAGCTACCACAACTCTGTCCTGCAGGAGCCTACGCTGACCTCTACGGACAAGTTAAATGTCGTTCCTGTCCAACAGGTTACTACAATATTCGACCGGGTGCAACCTATTGTACAAAATGCTTTTTGGACGTTGAATGTTCCAATTCAGCAGTGTCACCAAAACCGTGTGCTAGTGGTTATTATAACCCACTTTATGCACAGATAAAGTGTCGTCGTTTTCCAGCTGGTAACAGAACAATTCATATACCGGGATGTTTTAATGTCAATAGTTAACCCACTATTTTCTTATTGTTTGTTATTGTTTTTCAAATGTAAGAAGCTAAAGTGTATTGTTTTTATTCATAATAAAGATTTCTAGACACTCCTGATTTAGACTCCTTTAGTGAAATTACATCTTTTCAGTAGTCTTTAGCGTCGTGGGTGTAAGTGTGGATGTGAGTGCGGATGGGTGTGGATGTGGGTGTGAGTGTGGAGTTTGGATGTGAGTGTAAGTGTGGGTTTAGATGTGGGTGTGGGTGCGGGTTTGGGGTGTGATTGTGGATGTGACTGTGAGTGTGGGTGATTGAAGAAGAACAACCCATATCCACACCCACACCCACACCCTCAGATTACCTTACTCTTAAACCATCATTTGAAGAAATTATCGAATGAAATTTAAGAAAACTTTTTAAAAAAACCCCCAGTTAGTTGAAACATTAATGTAACAGCTGGGAATTTATTTCTCTCTGTGAAATTACAAGTAGGCATAAACATATGTCAATTGCTCATTTTATATAGATGTACATACATTAGTTACGAATACATACATGCAACTAAAAGTGCTCTTCGTGTATGTTACTGAGTCTCTCTTTCGACATAAAATAAATATTAAAGGAAAAATTAGAATGATGCAAAAGTCATAAAAACATGTCCAATAAAATACTTGATAATTTTACATCTGTATGTAAAGGTTGGTAACAGATGAAGCATTTTTAATGCTTTGTTTTACGTTTTCATATTTGATGGAGAAAAATGAAATATACTGCAAGTAAAAAAGATTACGTTTGTTTTCAATCACAGACATTCAATTCTCAAAGAAAAATTTTTAACTATGGTGTGTGACATGAAGAGTACGATGCTCCTCGATTTGAGAATTGTCGATTCATTGTCAATGTCATATAAAAAGTGGTTGTTTTTCATTATTACTAAATTTTCCTTCATCATGATCGCAAAATTCGATTGACTCTTATTCCGTGAATGTTGAACTATATTCTTAACAATTATGTAGAATATGAACTCTTGTAAGCAAAGACTAGTAAATCGTGCAATTTTTAGAAATTATACACATATTTAAATCAAATCAAAATTCCGAAAAAATAGACTTGGTGATCATGAAATGATCAAAATCGCTCACGATCAAATCAATATGCATTCTAATGGTCACTTTACCATTTTTCGCTTAAAAAAAATGCATTGTAATGACTGAAATGGTCTAGTTACAGCTAATAATGCATTTTAATGACCATTTCTTCATTATTCACTTGGCAGGGCAACTGAATAGTTCCTTACAAAACCTTAGAAAGTTTGATAGTATCACAGTGCCAAATAAGTTAAGGAATCTTGCTTGAAGTCTTTCCGTACATAAATTATTATTAAACCTCATCCTAGTGATCTATTATATATCGAGTCAAAATTGTGTTCGAATAATGCTTAACTTTCTCATGACTGAGACAATCGTATTGTTCGTTGCAAAGTCTCTAAGGACTGATGAGCATTCCACTTATTCTGTCTGACATTACAGCATGAAAAGCTGCTCATCTTGAAAGTAAGAAAAGCAGTGTTAACACTCCCCAGGTCAATCACGCTCGGCAGTAAACGGCCGTCCACTAACCAAATACGGCGAAAAACGGCAACTGTTTATGTTAGTCATATACAGCAGCCGTAAACGATGATTTACAGCATATTACGGCAATCGTACACAGTGTCCGTAAAAGTTCATCGTAAACTACTACCGTAACAATACGGTGACTGTATACTTTGGTCGAAAAACAATGTAAGCCGTCGTATACGTCAGCCGTTTGCGGTGGCTGTTTACAATGGTCGTATCTGACGCTTTACGGCATGCTACGGCAATTGTAAACATTGACCGTAAAGTATCGTAGGATACGACTAGCGTGACAACACGACGACCGTATACGCTGGTATTATAAAATGTCGTAAAACACAGTGTACGTGAGCAGTATACAGTAGTCCCTTACGGCGATCGTAAACGACATTTTACGATGATTTTGCGGCCGACGTAAACAATTGTCATAAATAGCAATCGTGTACGACTTCTGTAACAATATGCCGATTGTATACGCTCATCGCATAATATCGCGACGTACCGTCTTTGTTTATTGTAATTCGTTCGATATAGAATCACTATTTGTTATTGTATTTCGTCGCAAACGATCGTTAATGTCGGCGAATTTCTATTATTTAATATCAATAACATACTCTCATGATGGCGTATACTAGTCGACAGCTAACAAAAGTTGCGTTTCTACAAAGTCGAGAAAGAGTCACAGGAATTCCAGCAGTGTACCTTAATCGAAAAATAGTCTTTTCTGAGTCTTTTTCCGACTCACCTTATCCTATACATCGGGGTGCCCCTCCTGTTCATCCTCATTCGAGCTCAGTGCACATTGTGAGTAACAAGTAAGAAAAATCGATTTTCAAACACTGTTGCTTGACCTACCAAAAGTCTTCCCTTTGGTCTTCTTGAGACTCACCGTACTCTAAATATAGGGCGGCACCGCCTATCAACCCTCATGCCGCTTGGGTACAAAGCTTCAGTAACAAGTGCGAAAAATCGATTTTACAGCACTGTTACTTGGCCTTTAAAAAGCCTTCCTTTCAGTCTTTTCAGGCCCACCTTACCCTATATATATGGGTGCACAACGTGGTCGTGGTCATTTGAGTTCAGAGTCAGGTATGACTAACAAGTATGAATAATAGATTTTTGAGGAGTATTATTTGATCAAAAAAGAGTCTTTTTTAGCCTTTTTAAGTCTCACCCCCTACTATATAAAGGGCTGCAACACGAGCTCGCAGTCATTTCAATTGAGATTCAGGTATGAGTAACAAGTATGAATAATAGATTTTTGAGGAGTATTATTTGATCAAAAAAGAGTCTTTTTTAGCCTTTTTAAGTCTCACCCCCTACTATATAAAGAGCTGCAACATGTGATCGTGGTCATTTCAATTGAGAGTTAGGTATGAGTGACAAGGATGAAGAATGGATTTTGTGAGGAGTATTATTTGATCAAAAAAGATTCTTTTTTAGTCTCACCCTCAACTATATAGAGGGCTGCACACCGTGCTCGTGGTCATTTCAATTGAGATTCAGGTATGAGTAACAAGTATGAATAATAGATTTTTGAGGTGTATTATTTCATCAAAAAGAGTCTTTTTTTAGTCTTTTTTAGTCTCACCCCCTACTATATAAAGGGCTGCAACACGTGCTCGTGGTCATTTCAATTGAGATTCAGGTATGAGTAACAAGTATGAATAATAGATTTTTGGGGAGTATTATTTGATCAAAAAAGAGTCTTTTCAAGTCTCACCCCCTACTATATAAAGGGCTGCACCACTTGCTCGTGGTGATTTCAATTGAGATTCAGGTATGAGTAACAAGTATGAACAATCGATTGTTTAGCGGATGATTTGATGGAAAGAGAGTCTTTTTAAGTGTCACGCCTACTATATAAGGGGCTGCAACAGGTGCTCGTGGTGATTTCAATTGAGAGTTACGTATGAGCGACCAGTATGAAGAATGGATATTGAGAAGTAGTATTTGATCAAAAAAGAGTTTTTTTTAGCGTTTTTGAGTCTCACCGCTACTATATAAGAAGCTGCAGCAAGGGTTAGTGGTCATTTGCATATAGTGTTAGGTATGAGTAACAAGTATGAACAATGGATTTTTGAAGAGTATTATTTGATCAGAAAAGAGTTTTTTGTAGTCTGTTCGAGTCTGACGCCCTACTATATAAATGGCTGCACCACGTGCTGGTGGTCGTTTCAGTTGAGAATGACGTCGTAGCAAAAAGTATGAACAATCGAACGTTTAGCGGATGATTTGATGAAGAAAGAGTGTTTTTCCGTCTTTTTGAGTCCCGCTTCTGTTTTTATACAGACACGCACGCCGAGGTATGTGCTGTTGAGGTGTAGAAAGAACCGCGAACAAGAACGATGAGTAACCGATTCCGGTTATTGAAGTGTAGTCGTTTGGATAGCTTTTCTGATGAGGTTCCTATATGGTCTCTGAGTAAGGATCCTGCCTCATTTTCGTATATATTTAAAGAAGTGTTCTACCATATGACCGATTTAACAGGAAACCGCAATGCCTGAGCGTTTTGTTTTTAACGCAAAGCGTTCCGTTAGAGAATATCCCGAAACCCAAGCATTCACTAGAATACGATCCTGCCTTTACATGAAAAAATCATTAATGGTCTTTTCACATCTGCTTTCATAGTTTTCCACCTCGCAGAAAGTTCTGGGAAAAAGTCTGTGGAACCTAGAAAACGACCTTTTTTCAAGCTTTTGCGCGCTAGCAAATCTCACAAGAAAAGTCTTCACAGCACTCAAACAGAATGTTTCGTACCTATTCGCAATCTTCAGAAGAACTCCAAAGAAGTCTCGAAAGGTGCCAGACTGCTTCCCGTCGAGTCTTTTTTCAACTGTTTCACACTATTATAAGGAGTTCTCTTCGGGCCAAAAACCTCTCAAAAACTTTTCGAAACATTTTTTTCTCTGGGCCCTCAAAAAATCTCACTGAGTCTCAATAAGTCTCAAAAAATCTCAATCAGTCTCAATGAGTCTCAATCAGTCTCAATGAGTCTCAATAAGTCTCAATGAGTCTCAATAAGTCTCAATAAGTCTCAATGAGTCTCAATAAGTCTCAAAAAGTCTCAGAATGGTGAATACGGCCGTACACGATCGCCGTATTACACCGTATACGACACGGCGAAATACGACCGTAGTACGGTACATGGAAATACGGCGGATTTACGGCCGTATACGGCTGTTCCTGGTCGCTGTAATGCTCGTTCTGGGCACTGTATACGGCCACCGTATACGGCGATTTACGGTCTTATACGGCCGTATACAGCATTGTTACGGCCGTGAAGGTAGCGTATACGGCCTTATCAATCGTCCTTGGGGCCGTGTCCAGTTATGAATACGGCCGCACACGACCGCCGTATTATGCCGTATACGACACGGCGAAATACGGTGGGAATACGGTCCCGGGAAATACGGCGGGTTTACGGCCGTAAATAGCCGTAAATCCGCCGTATACGGCCGTTTCTGGTCACCGTAATGCTCGACCTGGGTCCTCCTAAGAGGTTCCGAGAAAAAGCTGAAGAGGTCTAAAAGCTACTTACTGCCTCTTCTTCGCTCTTCCGTCAACATCTAAATCTCTCTTTAAGCCGGCTCTAAACTGGTGCCGGTTCAACGCCCATGAGAAGAATCTAGAAAAAAAAGTTGGTACCCTATAAAATGAAACACTTTTTTTCATTATCTCGCTAGAATTTGGTTTTCAATAGTTTCTGATTAACGACATTCACACAATAAATTATGGACAAGATCAAACCTAGGGATGCAACAGTGACGATATCCGTAGGTACGGTTACCGGTCCTACTACGGTAACCGTAGGTACGGTTATCGGTTCCACTACGGTAACCGTAGGTACGGTTACCGGTCTAACTACGGTAACCGTAGGTACGGTTACCGGTCCAACTACGGTAACCGTAGGCAGTTATCGGTTCAAACTCGTTGTCAACCGATAACCATAGGTAGTTATCGGTTCAAACCCGTTGTCAATAAAAACAGCATTTTTTAAGAAAATAACGATATTTTATAAAGGTTGACGAAAGTGAATCGGGGTCGAGGAATCTGAATCTGAAGTCATTTTTTGAAAATTTTGAATTGAATTTTTTCGACAAAAGAAAGGGTTTTTTAGAAAAATAATGATATTTTATAAAGGTTGACGAAAGTAAATCGAGGTCGAGCAACCCGAATCTGAAGTCAGTTTTTGAAAATTTCGAATTAAATTTTGTCGACACAGGAAAGGGTTTTTTAGAAAAATAATGATACTTTATAAAGGTTGACGAAAAGTAAGTCAAGGTCGAAGAATCCAAATCTGAAATCAGATCCTTGAACTTTTCAATTTTCTCTTCCCAAGACTAAACCGCTCCTTGAAAGTCGTCTTTTTTTTCTAGAAAACTTTATCTCTCAAAAACATCGTATGTGAAGAACTAAAACTCAAAATTTTCAAAAGCCGACTTCAGATTCGGATTCTTCGACCTCGATTTACTTTTGTCAACCTTTATAAGATATCATTATTTCCCTAAAAAACCCTTTCCTTTGTCGAAAAACTTCAATTCGAAATTTTCAAAAACTGACTTCAGATTCGGGTTGCTCGACCTCGATTTTCTTTCGTCAACCTTTATAAAATATCATTATTTTTCTAAAAAACCCTTTCTTTTGTCGAAAAAATTCAATTCAAAATTTTCAAAAACTGACTTCAGATTCAGATTCCTCGACCCCGATTTACTTTCGTCAACCTTTATAAAATATCATTATTTTTCTAAAAAACCCTTTCTTTTGTCGAAAAACTTTAATTCGAAATTTTCAAAAACTGACTTCAGATTCAGATGCCTCGACCCCGATTTGCTTTCGTCAACCTTTATAAAATATCGTTATTTTCTTGAAAAATGCTGTTTTTGTTGACAACGAGTTTGAACCGATAACTACCTACGGTTACCGTAGTTGGACCGGTAACCGTACCTACGGTTACCGTAGTTGGACCGATAACCGTATCTACGGTTACCGTAGTGGGACCGGTAACCGTACCACGGTTAACCGATGAATGATCGTCACCGTTGCATCCCTAATCAAACCGACGACAACTGACAAAGTTGAAGTTCTTGAAATCGACCCAAAATCACTTCCTTCGAATCATCCTCATCTTGCTGCATACTACAACCACATCGGTAGTTTACATGGTCAAATGGAACAACGTGCAAAAGCTCTGTCATATTTTGAGAAAGCTCTTAAAATTGAAAAACAGTCACTTCCTTGGAATGATCCTAACTTGGCCGCATCTTACAATAACATCGGTTCGGTGTATTACAACATGGGTGAACATTCGAAAGTATGCTCGTTCTGTAAACGCGCTGTGGACATTGGACAACAAACATTACCACCAAACGACTCTGAACTTCAAAAGTGGGGAAGAAACTTAGATAAAGCAAATAATAAATCGTAATGAGTACTTTTTTCGTGAAAGAAAACAAGTAACGCTCGTCTGTGTGACTCGCTTGACTCTCGACTGAATATTTGACTGTTTCGGTATTATATACTCTCTCCTAGAAAAACAAAGTTCCTATTTCCATTTCATTTTTGCATCACTTAGTGCGTTGTTTTGAAAAAACAAAATATATCACAAGGATGGGTGCGTGTGGGTTGGGTGTGGGTGAGGTGTGGGTGGGGTGTGGGTGAGGTGTGGGTGTGGATGGAGTGTGGGTGAGTGTGGGGTGGTGTGGGGTATGGGTGTGGATGTGAGTGCGGGTGTGGGGTGTGAGTGTGGGATGTGGCTGTGGGTGTGGCTGTGGATGAAGATAACAGGGACGCCTACACCCACATCCACACCCACAACCAACCACGCTCACACCCACGCCCACATCAACTCACATCCACACCCACATCCACACCCACCCCACACCCACACCCACACCCACTCCCTCTGGACGAACCCAAACGAGTCCAAAAATCTAAGGGCCCACAACAGCATTTCGATAATTTTGTCTTGATGATGGAACCGTATTCCCTAAAAGCAACCTTCCTCGATTATATTTCCTTCTTCCTTTCATTAGGCTTTCGTCTATTTGAACTATTTCATTTGGACCACCCATTTTCGGCAAATCTGGATCTGTCAAAGCGTTCAGACAAATTTCTCTAAAGTAATTTCTCCAATCAACGAACACTTCATTGTATTTTCCGATCAGATTGCCCATTAGATCTTTTGTTTTTTTCATTGAAAGATCCTTTGCCCAGCAAAACATTATCAAAAGTGCTATTCTGATTTCAATTTTGGTTTGTGAATACTCGCGTTGATCTGGTTTGGAGAAAAACGTGGCTCTTTTTTGTTGCTGTCCTCCGATTTCACCATCATCTTGTATTGAATTCTTCGTTGTCCTCTTCCTTTTGCATCTATTGCAACGAATAATTGAATATTCTTTGTTTCTTCTCCTATCATTATAAATAGTGGTGTAACATTCACCTGGACAGTTAGTTGTTCCAAGTCTGCATTTACCTAAATGAAAGAAATAAATTATCCAAGTCAGATACCTTATATTTGATAAGTTTAATTTACCGAGTGGTTGTTATGCGCTTTGTAGTGATTGATCATTCAAAAGCAAACCATGATTCTGCAGATTGAGTTGCCGAAGCTTCACTTGAACAAATTAAACTGATTTTCAAAATGTTCGGATCCATTGTATCACAAGATTAAATCACAGATAAGATTACAGAAAAGATCGAAATTTTAAATATGTCAATACATTACTTTAACAAAGACTACATCTTTTCATTCAACTAATAAAATTCACGTAATTTATGTCACCACTATAGGTGTCGACGTATCCCACTAATACCAATTTATCTTGAATGATTAAATTTTTTTTTCTTTATTTTAGATCAATTTCAATATCGAAATTGAAACGTAAGTATTTTATTTAATTGAATAAATTTTTTTATTTCAGGTCAATTTCAACATGTAAATGGAACCGTAAGTATCTTATTGAATTAAATAATTTTTTTTTCTTTATTTTAGATCAATTTGCACATCGAAATGGAATGGTAAGTATCTGATTTAATTAAATAATTTTTTTTCTTTATTTTAGATCAAGTTGAATATGAAAATTGAACAGTAAGTATTTTATTTAATTAAATAATTTTTTTTCTTCATTTTAGGTCAGAGTCAATATTAAAATCGAACCGTAAATATTTTATTTAATTAAATAAATTTTTTTTTTCATTTTAGATAGTGGTGCAAAAATGCTGTTTACCTACATAAAGATTGTAAATTTTCGGTATGAAACTCTCCTAAATCCAACCAAATCTTCGTGTCATTTATAGCTAGCTTTATTCGCTCTATCTGATACTGATAAATAAATATCAGTACCAGATAGAGCGAATAAAACTGGTTATTATTGACGCGAAGATATGGTTAGATTTAGGAGAGTTTCATACAGAAAATTTACAATCTTTATGCAGATAAACAGGATTTATTGCGCATCTATTACTATTAGGTTTAGCTATAGAATTCCTATAGGATCCTGTCGGATTCTGGACTTTCCGACACCTTCCGACTGTCGGATCCGGCTGTCGGAAATCATCGGATCCGACATCCGACAACTTCGGACTGGATTCCGCTCAAGGGGGAAAAAACGGAATCCTGGAATCCTGGAATCCGGTGGAATATTAC